TGAGTTGGAGTCTCACTCTGTCGTCCAGACTGGAGTGCAGTGGCCGCTCCTGGCCACCGCAGCCTCGGCCTGCTGGGCTCCAGCGATCCTTCCGCCTCAGCCTTCCGAGTAGCCGGAATTACAGGCATGCGCCACCACACCCAGCTGATTTTTTTTGATTTATTGTAGAGATGAGGTCTCACTGCCCAGGCGGGTCTCGAACCCGCGGGCTCAGGCAATTCACTCACCTCAGCCTCCCAAAGGCGCGGGATTACAGGCTGAGCTACCGAGCCCGGCTCCCTGGCTAATTTTAAAAATTTATTCTAGAGGTGAGGTCTCACCAAATTGCCCAGGCTGGTGTCAAACACCTGGGCCCAGGCAGTCCTCTTGCTTCTGCCTCCCAAAGTGCTGGGATTATAGACATATGTCACCACACCTGGCCTTTTTTTTCTTTTTTGAGTCGAGATTTTACTCTGTCGTCAAGGCTGGTGTGCAGTCTCAGTCACGGCTCACCACAGCCTCAACCTCCTGGACTCAGTTGATCCTTCTGTCTCACCCTCCTGAATAGCTGGAAGTATAGGTGCATACCACCAGGACTGATTTTTTTTTTTTTGTAGAGATGAGGTCTCACTATGTTGCCTGGAATTATCTTGAACCTCCTGGGCTCACATGACCCTCCCACTTGAGCCTCCCAAAGTCCTGGGATTATAGGCATGCGCCACCACACTCAACCCTTTCCTCATTTTCAATTATTGAGTCATAGGAGTTCTTTATATATTCTTGTTACAAATCCTTTTTCAGGTGTATGGTTTATAAGTATTTTCTCTTTTGTAACTTGAGAGCTGGCCTGAGTTGTTTTTTTCCTCCTCTACTAGAATGCTTTTTTATTCCCCTCATTTAGAGCACCCCAGGCAAAGACATGAAGCTTATGGTAGCATTCAGGGAGGGAGATTTGGGACATTACTCTTTTCAGGATTATTTCCTGGGGTCTAGTCTTTCTCATTTGTTCATTCTATTAACAGATAAATTTATTGAGAGCTTGTTTTGTGCCAGATACTGAGCTAGATACTGGGTGATTATAGTAAGATTAGATATTGTTTATGTTATATGGGGCTTACGATGTAGTGGGTAGAAGATGTTAGTGACATCATACAAATAAAAATTATGAGTGTGTGAAGTGTTACAGAGGAGGGTTAGGTAGCTTTACAGACTGTGAATCGGGAAGCACAGAGATAGGAAAGGATTGGCTTCAAATCATGCACGTTTACTGACTGCCAGGTTGCCCCTTTTCTCTTTTGGAGTGATGATACCTGGATGGCTGATTAATTGTTCCATCCCACTCCATTTCATTCTGGCTCTTGGCAAAAGTCTGCTCTGAATTTGATTAGGTCCTCTATATCCTTGTCCACAATTTGAAGACTTTGCATAATTATTCTGGACTCACCATAAGAAAATAAGTTAAGTATTTCTCAAGTTGAGTATTTATAGTAAAATTCTCAGGAATCATCCATTCTAGAAACTTGTTGGATATGCAGATGTTAATTTTGAATATTTAGGCATTCTGCTTTGGTAGCATACAAGGGAAGATCAGTTCTCTCTTTTTCTTTTTTTTTTGAGTTAGAGTCTCACTCCGCCAGCCAGACTGGAGTGCAGTGGCCGCTCCAGGCCACTGCAGCCTCAACCTGCTGGGCTCCGGCAATTCTTCCGCCTCAGTCTTCCAAGTAACTGGAACTACAGGCGTGCTACCATGCCCGGCATTTTTTTTTGATTTATTGTGAAGATGAGGTCTCACCAAGTTGCCCAGGTGGGTCTCGAACCCGCGGGCTCAGGCAGTTCACTCACCTTGGCCTTCCAAAGTGCAGGATTACAGGCTGAGCCACCGAGCCCGGCCACCTTTGTACATTTAACCTTGTGAAAGGAATAATTCTCATAGACAACTTGTAAGACTACAAAGGCGGCCGGGCTTGGTGGCTTAGCCTGTAATTCCACACTTTGGGAGGCCGAGGTGAGTGGACTGCCTGAGCCTGCGGGTTCAAGACCCGCCTGGGCAACTTGGTGATACCTCATCTCTACAATAAATCAAAAAAATTAGCCAGGCGTGGTAGTGCGTGCCTGTAGTTCCAGTTACTTGGAAGGCTGAGGCGGAAGGATCATGGGAGCCCAGCAGGTCGAGGCTGCAGTGGCCGGGAGCAGCTACTGCACTCTAGTCTGGGCAACTGAGTGAGACTCCAACTCAAAAAAAAAAAAAAAAAAGACTACAAAGGCATAGATCTCATGATTTCTGTGAATTATGTTTTTTTCTATTTGGGAAGAACTGTGGCTTTGATGTGGACTCTTGAGAACACTGACTACTTTCTCTGTTTTTTTCTCTGATCTCCAGGACTCTCTAGAGGAAAAGCGAAAGCGGCAGCGGTCTGAACGCCTGGAACGGATTTTCCAACTTAGTGAGGCTCATGGGGCCCTGGCACCCATGTATGGGACTGAAGTCCTGGATTTCTGTACCCTGCCCCAACCTGTTGCCAGCCCCATCGGCCCTTGTTCTCCTGGCCCCAGCCACCCCACCTTTTGGACTTATACCGAGGCTGCCCACCGGGCTGTACTGTTTCCCCAGCAACGACTAGACCAGCTGTCAGAAATCATTGAGAGGTTGGCAGGGCTAAGTGTTAATGGGGAGTGGGTCTTGGGGTCTCAGAGTGGATATAGTGTTTAGGGCTGGTGAAGGTGCTGACTTCTGGGGCATTTTAGAGTCCCATCTTTTACACTGCTTACCTTCTTCCTTTCACAGGTTCATCTTTGTCATGCCTCCTGTGGAGGCGCCTCCCCCCTCCCTGCATGCCTGCCACCCACCTCCTTGGCTGGCCCCACGTCAGGCAGCCTTCCAGGAGCAACTGGCCAGCAAGCTCTGGCCCCGGGCTCGTCCTTTGCACCGTATTGTGTGTAACATGCGTACCCAGTTCCCTGACTTGAGACTCATACAGTATGATTGTGGTGAGTTCATTGGCTAGAACAGAGCCTTTACTTCTTTTCCTTTCTTAGTAACAAGACTTATGTTAGAGGGATGCTGTACATAAGGTCTATAGGGATTTCTATAAAGCATTAGATAGCTTTTTAGGTTATGCTTTGGGTGAGACATCAAGAAATGTAGGCCTTATGATGGATTCTTGACATTCCTGAGTTTCACTTTTTAAAAATTTGTTTTTGAATTGGAGTCTCATTCTGTTTCCCAGGCTGGAGTCCAGTGGCACACTCATAGCCATCGCAGTCTCAACCTGCTGAGTTCAGGTGATCCGAATAGTTGGAACTGCTGGCATGCACCACCATGCCTAGCTAATTTTTAAAAAATTTGTTGTAAAGATCTTGCCAAGTTGCCTGGCTGATCGCGAACTGGTGGGCCCAGGCAATCCTCTCACCTCGGCCTCCCAAAGTGCTGGGATTATAGCTGTGAGCCACTGCACCTGGCCTTGAGTTTCACTTTTATGATAAAACGTGAAAATGTGTGCTGCTAGCTCATTCAGTGTTCATTTTGTGAACATCTGTTATAATTTTGCTAGTCATTTGGGATACAGTAGCAAATAAGACAGCACAGCATAGAGTTTTAAAATTAATGAGAAATCTAATGTGGTACAAGACTGCACAGCAAATAGTAAAGTTTCGTCTTGGAAAAGACCAGGACCTTGGTTCAAAAGCATCTGGCTGCAAGTAACAGAAAAACCAACCAACAGTAGCTTAAACCACAAGAGTATTTATTGTTTACTTAATGAGAAATTCTGAGAATGGTGTGTGTGTGACTCAGCAGTTTAATTATATTTTCAGGGACCTAGGACCTTATCTTTCTACTCTGCCACACCATCTTCAGCTTTTATCGTTTTATTCTTATGCATGCTTCTTCATGATGTTAAGATGGCTGCCATAGTTCTAGGGAGCACACCAGTCCTCTAAGTAGGAAACAAGGGGTTGAAACAAAACAGTCCCAGAAAGTTGTCATCTTTGGAGGGGTGGGGGGAGACAGAAAGCATTCCCAGTTGACTTTATTTCACAACGCATTGGCTGAAACTGGGCCATATGCCCATTGTCAGAACAATCACTGACAAAGGGGAACAGCAAAGAGTAACTGTGGCTTATTTAAATTGATCTTGATTAACCCTTTGGACTCAGAGATCTCGTGGATTATCTGCCAACAACTCGATCGCACTTTTTTTTAATAATATAGTGAAAAAGAAATCATATCATATTAAGCAGTACAGTGCTGGAACCAGTTATTTTATTGTAATGATATTTGGCTTATAATGGAATTTTGGACATTGAGAAATTTATGACAAAACTAAAATACCTTACATTTTTCTAACTTGTGCACTGCAGGTTTATTGATACATATTGTGGAATAGTAATTTGTTTGACATCTTCCATCTGATGTTTTTCCATTCGAGCAGACAATACATTTTCATTTTCTTCTTCCCATATTAAAAATATGTAATTTATTATCCAATCTGCACCATTGTGAAAACACTTCACACGTTCTCTTTCTATGTAATGCCAGCTGATACATTTTTGCGTATATCTCAGTATATATTCCATCTTTTTATTTGCTTTTTTGTGCAGTTTGAATGGAAAACTTCAAGGAAATATACATTTTTGAAAAATTTGTGCTGGCATAAGTTTGTCCTGTATAATCCCCAGCAGTCTTACTTTGTCCCCTCAGAGAGAACATCCTAGTGGTTTGCTAGATTTTTGATGTGCCCTCAGAGGGGACATCCGAGTGCAAAGGGTTAGTTTTCTGGGGCTATATTAGTAATGTGTCCCCCTGGGAGCAAGGGATCTCTGCCAGCTGTCCGTTAAATCAGGTTTTATTACCCAAGATTGGCTGTTGGACAGTTGACTAGTTTCTGCCATAACCCTGCACAGACATTTCTGTAGTAATATATGTCCTAGAATATAAGAACATCAGAATTTTTAGCCGGGCACAGTGGCTCATGCCTATAATCTCAGCACTTTGGGAGGCCAAGGTAAGAGGATTGCCTAAGCCCACAGGTTGCAGACCAACCCGGGCAACTTGGTGAGACCTCATCTCTACAATAAATTAAAAAATTAGCTGGGTGTGGTGGCACATGCCTGTAGTTTCAGCTACTTGGAAGGATGAGGCAGAAGGATCACCTGAGCCCAGCAGGTTGGGGCTGTGGTGGCTGTGAGCATGCCACTGTACTTTAGCCTGAGTGACAGTGAGACAACAGATACAAAAACAAAGTGTTCAAATTGGCTTAATCAAAAATGTTGTAGAGGTTATTTCTGTGTTTGATGGGAGTTTGAACTGGATAACCTAGCCTGGGTGACAGAGTGGGACTCTGCTCAAACAACAACAACAAAATCTTGGCCGGGCATGGTGGCTCACGCTTATAATCCCAGCACTTTGAGAGGTCGAGATGAGAGACCAGCCTGGACAACTTGGCAAGACCTCATCTCTACAATAAACCAAAAAATTAGCCAGGCATGGTGGTGCGTGTCTATGGTTCCAGCTACTTGGAAGGATATCCTGAGCCCCAAGGCTACTATGGCCGTAAGCGTGCCACTGCATTCCAGCCTGGGCAACAGAGTGAAACTTTGACTCAAAAAAAAAAAAGATCCTGTCTGACTCTGTGGTTCTGATCTGTGACCTTAAATCCCTGTCTATAAGCTGTGCCCATGGACTTGTGTATCTGTTCTGTGTTTTAGTTGATATAACTATTGTAGTACTTAAAGATCTCTTGGTCGGGCTCGGTGGCTCAGCCTGTAATCCCGTGCTTTGGGAGGCCAAGGTGAGTGGATTACCTGAACCCGTGGGTTCGAGACCCGCCTGGGCAACTTGGCGAGACTTCATCTCCACAATAAATCAAAAAATTAGCTTGGCGTGGGTAGCACGCACCTGTAGTTGCAGCTACTTGGAAGACTGAGGCGAAAGGATCGCTGGAGCCCAGCAGGTCGAGGCTGCAGTGGCCGGGCTCAGTGGCTTAGCCTGTAATCCCGCGCTTTAGGAGGCCGAGGTGAGTGGATTGTCTGAGCCCATGGGTTCGAGACCCGCCTGGGCAACTTGGTTGAGACCTCATCTCCACAATAAATCAAAAAATTAGCCGGGCATGGTAGCGCGCGCCTGTAGTTCTGGCTACTTGGAAGGCAGAGGCAGAAGGATCGCCAGAGCCCAGCAGGTCGAGGCTGCGGTGGCTGGGAGTGGCCACTGCACTCCAGTCTGGGTGACAGAGTGAGACTCCAACTCAAAAAAAAAAGATCTCTTGTTCATAAACCACTGAGAATTCTGTTTTTCTTCCTTGAGAATATATATTCTCTTAGTTAGACTCAGAGAAGTTAGATCCCAGGTGGGAGCAGACAGAAGAAAGGAATACGTAGGGAAGAAACTGTATGTAGTGAAAAGATTTTTTTATCCCCTAGGCTAATTGAAACTTTGGCCTTAAAGCCTTGATGATGTTTCAACCACAACCTTCCAGTGCTGTGTTTTGTCCATTCTAGCTTGTAGCTAGCTCCCTGTACTCCTTCATATCTCTTTAGGAAAGTTGCAAACGCTGGCAGTGCTGTTACGGCAGCTCAAGGCAGAGGGCCACCGAGTGCTTATCTTCACCCAGATGACCCGAATGCTGGATGTATTGGAGCAGTTTCTCACCTACCATGGGCACCTTTACTTGCGTCTGGATGGGTCTACTAGAGTTGAACAGAGACAGGTAATACAGGCATCTGCAGCCTTTTTAGAGGCTCACCTTAGCTTCTCTCTTTTTTTTAACCCCAGGCCTTGGCCTTCTAGAAGGGGCAACCACAAAGCCTTGGGCACTACCTCTTTTGGGGAATAAGCCTCCCGATACCACCTTTTTTTCCTTCTTTCCAGGCCTTGATGGAACGGTTCAATGCAGACAAACGCATATTCTGCTTCATCCTTTCAACTCGGAGTGGGGGTGTGGGCGTGAACCTGACAGGAGCAGACACTGTTGTTTTTTACGATAGCGACTGGAATCCCACCATGGATGCTCAGGCCCAGGATCGCTGTCACCGAATTGGCCAGACCCGAGATGTCCACATCTATCGGTATTGACTAGTCTTTCATCACCTCGCTTCCCATTACTGACAGGGTTTCCTTAGTATGTTCGGCTGTTCACACGTGGCCTCTGTCACTTCCTAGGCTTATCAGTGAGCGGACAGTGGAGGAGAACATCCTTAAAAAGGCAAATCAGAAGAGAATGTTGGGAGACATGGCCATTGAAGGAGGCAACTTCACTACAGCCTATTTTAAACAGGTACTAAGAAAGATCTTGCAGTCTATGCAGAAGAGAACTGCTATCTATATCTTATAGGAGTTCTTCCCATTTATTATTATTTTTATTTAAATTTGTGTGTGTGTATGTATGTGTGTGTGTGTGTGTGTGTGTGTGTGTGTGTGTGTTGGAATCACACTCTCACCCAGGCTGGAGTGCAGTGGCACACTCACGGCCACAGTAGCCTTTACCTGCTAGGTTCAGGCGATCCTTCCACCTCAGCCTTCCAAGTAGTTGGAACTACAGGCACACGCCACCATGCCCAGCTAATTTTTTTTTTTTGAAAGCAGGATTTATTGAGAGGACAGAAAAGCTCCCACAGTGGGAGGGGACCTGAAAGGATTGCCCTAATTTGTTGATTTATTGTAGAGATTAGGTCTTGCCAAGTTGCCCAGGCTGGTCTCGAACCCGTGGGCTCAGGCAGTCCTCTCACCTCAGCCTCCCAAAGTGTTGGGATTATAGGTGTGAGCCACCATGCCTGGTCTCCTCCCATTTATTAAAGAAGAACTACTTTGACCTTCACAGACCTGCCTCTTCAGTTAATCACATTTCCGATACTTCCACGAGCTATCAGCATCACAGCTGTAGACCTAGAACTAGCATTCCATTGACTCTGACACTTTTCTCTCTTTTCTGTCCAATAGCAGACCATCCGAGAGCTGTTTGATATGCCCCTGGAGGAGCCATCTGGCTCATCTGTACCCTCTGCCCCTGAAGAGGAGGAAGAGACTATGGCCAGCAAGCAGACTCATATTCTAGAGCAGGTGAAAAAAGAGTGGGCAATTCATGAAGGAGAGCTAATGCTTACAGTATATCTTGTCTTTCTTTAGTCTGCTGAGCTTGTCTGGGGGAAACAAAGAACTATGCTGCTTCCCAGATTAGTTAGGCTTTGATGGTTTTAAGTACATTGTTTATTAGTTCACCTGCTCTAATATATTGGAAGAGGACAGCATTTCGAAGTCTTCCATTTGAATTTTAGCAGCGCTTCCTAATTGTGTTTGTTAAACCAAGTTGCAAACTTACTATTCTTGTCAGCCTCACTTTCTATGTTTGAAATATTAATGAAAGGTAGCTTTGAGGACTAAGTGGATGAAATAAATGTAAGAGGTGCTTTGTATATGATGTGAAACACTGTTCCAAACATTGATGCATAATAGAATCACAAAGATTCCTGGGCCCTCTTCCAAAGTCTACTGAATTATAATTTTTGGGTGCTGGGTTTGAGCATTTGTCTATTTTTAAAGGTGTAGAGCATCATGGAGGTATTTGTCCCTACTGAATGCCTCATTCTCATTGGTGAGTATGCTCTAGGCTACTTCCTTCAGTGAGCTCCCTGGATATTCACTCAAGGAAAAATCAGATGTGGTTATTATGTTGTCCTAAGGCATCTCGGTGCAAAAAAGAATTGTGAGGTGTTTTTTTTTTGCTTATTTTTATTTTGTATTTATTTATTTATTTTTTTGAGTTGGAATCTCACTCTTGTTGCCCAGGCTGGAGTGCAGTGGCACACTCATGGCCACCACAACCTCCACCTGCTGGATTCAGGTCATCCTTCTGCCTCAGCCTTCCAAGTAGCTGGAACTATAGGCACATGCCACCGTATCTGGATAATTTTTGTTTTTATCATAGAGATGAGTTCTTGCCTAGTTGCTCAGGCTAGTCTCGAACCTATGGGCTCAGGCAATCCTTTCACCTTGACCTCCCAAAGTGCTGGGATTATAGGTGTGAGCCACCGTGCCTGACCTTATTTTTATTTATTTTTTATTTTTTATTTTAGTTGGAGTCTTAACTCTGTTGCCCTGGCTGGAGTTCAGTGACATGGTCACAGCTCACCGCAGCCTTGACCTTCTGGGCTCAGGTGATCCTTCCACTTCATCCTCCCAAGTAGCTGGAACTACATGCCCTTCAGCCCGGGCTTTTTTTTTTTGTAGGAATGAGGTCTCGTTATGTTGCCTAGGCTGGTCTCAAACTTCTGGACTTAAGCAATCCTTCCACCTCGGTCTCCCAGAATGCTGGGATTATAGGTTACTATGCTGGCCAAATTGTGGGATTTTGATATTCAAATCATTCCATATCTACCTTTTTTTTGTTTTTTCCTCTAAGGCTGACTCTAAAGGAAAGGAAGTGGATTTCTAAAATAGTCATTTTGTCCCTAGTGGGAGTTCTGGTGAAATCCATTCTGTCTTGTCTGCACCACTGACTTGCTTTGGCCACTTTGAGGGTCCAGAAGGTTGTTGAGTTCTGTTGCAGACCTGGTTTGGTATAAATTTAGTCTTCGATTTTTACCAGAATAACTTTATAGGATGAAAAGTCACTGAAGTTTCCTTTCTTTTTTTATACACCCTTGCAGGCATTGTGTCGGGCAGAGGATGAAGAAGATATCCGTGCAGCTACCCAGGCCAAGGCTGAACAGGTGGCTGAGCTTGCAGAATTTAATGAGAATGATGGATTTCCTGCAGGTGAGGGAGAGGAGGCCAGTCGGCCTGGGGCTGAAGATGAGGAAATGTCCCGGGCTGAGCAGGAGATTGCTGCCCTTGTAGAACAGGTTAGTGTTAGACTGACTATTTTGCAATTTTTCCCTCCTCAACTCCTTCCCCTAGACTTGTGACCCTCCTTCTGTCTTCCCTGGTGATAATAAAGGTGATGGGGCCCTGGCACCAGTTCCCTATATTTATCTCTCCTGCTCCTTCCTGCAGCTGACCCCCATAGAGCGCTACGCTATGAAATTCCTGGAAGCCTCACTGGAGGAGGTGAGCCGAGAGGAGCTCAAGCAGGCAGAAGTGAGTATTTCTGGGTTTGGGGCTAGCAGTGAGAAGCTGCTGATTTCTACTCACTCTGCTCTGCCTGTATTCTCTGACCGCACTTGGACTCTGTTGTTGGTAGGAGCAAGTGGAAGCTGCCCGCAAAGACCTGGACCAAGCCAAGGAAGAGGTGTTCCGCCTACCCCAAGAGGAGGAGGAGGGGCCTGGGGCTGGGGATGAGATTTCCTGTGGGACTAGTGGAGGCAGCCACCGGCGCAGTAAGAAAGCCAAGGCACCCGAGAGGCCAGGGACTCGTGTCAGTGAGCGTCTTCGTGGAGCCCGGGCTGAGACTCAAGGGGCAAACCACACTCCTGTCACATCTACCCATCATCCTCGCAGCACCACCACACCTCCCCGCTGCAGTCCTGCCAGGGAGCGAGTTCCCAGGCCAGCGCCTAGGCCTCGACCCACTCCAGCTTCAACTCCTGCTGCAGTTTCTGCCCCTGTCCCAGTCTCTGTCCCAATACCTGTGTCGGCTCCAAATCCAGTAACCATTCTTCCTGTCCATATCTTGCCTTCTCCTCCACCTGTTCCTTCACAGATTCCTCCCTCTTGTTCTTCTCCTGCCTGTACCCCTCCTCCTGCCTGTACTCCTCCACCAACTCATACCCCACCGCCAGCCCAAGCCTCTGTTTTAACTCCTTCTGCTCCTCTCTTGCTTGGTCCTCCTTCTGTGCCTGTCTCTCCTCCAGTCACCAACCTCCCTTTGGGCATGGGGCCTGAAGCAGAACTGTGTGTACAGGCGTTGGCATCTACAGAGTCCCTGGAGTTGACTGGCATGGCCAGTTCAGAGACCTCCTCGCTTACTCTTGTGCCCCCTAAGGATCTGTTGCCTGTTGCTGTTGAGGTCCTGCCCATGTCAGAGAAGAACCTTCCTCTCACCCCTTCTGCACCTAGCCCAACCATGGAGGCTGGCAGTGTCCCCAATGGTCAAGAGCAGGAGGTACAAGATTCTGCTGAGGGGACCATCCTCACAGTACTGCCTGGAGGTGAGGACTTGTCCATGTGTCCGAGTGAGAGCAATGGCCTGGAGCTTCCACCCTCAGCAACATCTGAGGGGCCACCTCAGGAGCCGTTGGAGGCTGACAGGAACTCAGAAGAGCCAGTGGAGGCCCAGACCCCAATTTGCAGCCCAGAGAAGCCACAGGAACTTGTTAAAGCTGAGGTCGCGGCTCCGTCAACCTCCTCTTCAACCACCTCCTCGCCTGAGGGTCCTTCACCTGCCCGACCCCCTCGGCGTCGCACCAGTGCTGATGTAGAAATTAGGGGCCAGGGGACTGGTCGGCCAGGGCAACCTCCAGGCCCCAAAGTGCTTCGCAAGCTGCCAGGACGGCTAGTTACTGTAGTAGAGGAAAAGGAACTGGTGAGGCGACGGCGACAACAGCGGGGAACTGCCAGCACCCTAGTGCCTGGGGTCTCTGAGACTAGTGCCAGCCCGGGAAGCCCATCTACCCGTAGCATGTCAGGGCCAGAATCCTCACCTCCCGCCGGTGGGCCCTGTGAAGCTGCGCCTTCATCCTCACTGCCCACTCCAACTCAGCAGCCCTTCATAGCTCGTCGTCACATTGAGCTGGGGGTGACTGGTGGGGGCAGCCCAGAGAATGGAGAAGGGGCACTGCTTGCCATCACCCCGCCTGCTGTGAAACGTCGGAGGGGGAGGCCCCCCAAGAAGAACAGGTCTCCAGCAGATGCTGGGAGAGGTGTGGATGAGGCATCCTCATCCGCCTCTAAGGGAAAAACCAATGGGGCTGATCCAGTCCCTGCGACTGAGACCCTAATTGTTGCGGAGCCTGTCCTGGGACCCCAGCTTATCCCTGGGCCCCAGACCGTTGGACCCCAGCCAGTTCACAGACCCGAGCCCATCGTCCTATCACCTGTGGAGAAAAGAAGGCGAGGGCGGCCCCCTAAGGCACGAGATTTGCCCATCCCTGGGACCATTTCCTCTCCAGGAGATGGCAACTTAGAGAGCCGGACACAGCCACTTCCACTCCCGCCACCCCTGCCACCACTCCCACCACCGCTAGCCTGTCCCACCGCTACTGTCACCAACACTGTCACCACTGTCACCATTTCAACATCCCCACCCAAGCGGAAGAGGGGCCGACCTCCCAAGAATCCACCATCACCTCGGCCCAGCCAGCTTCCTGCCTTGGACCGTGACAACTCATCTGTCCTCGAAAGCTGTGGATTGGGGAGGCGGCGGCAACCCCAGGGCCAGGGGGAAAGTGAGGGTAGTTCCTCTGATGAGGATGGAAGCCGCCCCCTCACCCGCCTTGCCCGCCTTCGTCTTGAAGCAGAGGGAATGCGAGGTCGAAAGAGTGAAGGGTCCATGATGGTGGCTGTAATTCAGGATGACCTGGATTTAGCAGATAGCGGGCCAGGCGGGTTGGAATTGACACCTCCTGTGGTCTCAGCCCCAAAACTGCGCTCGACCCGACTGCGTCCAGGGTCTCTAGTCCCCCCACTAGAGACTGAGAAGGTGCCTCGCAAACGGGCAGGGGTCCCGATTGGTGGGGGTCCTGGGCAGGCAAAGAGGGGCCGCCTACAGCCCCCAAGTCCCCTGGGGCTTGAGGGTTCAGTAGAGGAGTCTGAGGCTGAAGCCTCAGGTGAGGAGGAGGAAGGGGATGGGACCCTCCGCCGACGGCCTGGTTCCCGCAGGCTTGTTGGGACCACCAACCAAGGGGACCAGCGCATCCTGCGCAGCAGCGCTCCTCCCCACCTGACTTACCCTCCTGTTAGTCACAGAGGCCGCAAGGCCAAGACGTGAGTGGGCTGCCTCTCCACCTAGGCTTTCCACCATGGCCGTGCTTCCTCCGTGACCAGGCCTGACTCTGTTAACCACTACTTGAAGTCTTTTGAGGGGGAAAGCCTCCCGGGAGACAGGGGCCTTCTCCCTTCTTTCCGCCAAAGTAGGGGGTAGGCAACTGGTTGTCATGGAAATGGGGCTTATCACATCTCCCTTCCCTTCTACCCCCCCCATGGCTGGGCAGTGTTAAGGGTGGCAAGATAGTCTCTGTCCCCACCCCCTTGTACTTGATTCCCCCAGCTGTCTTTCACAAGCCCCACCCTTAGGGGAAGGGGGAGGGGCTTCTCTACAATGAGGTTTTTTTTTTTTCTTTTTTTTAAAGAAGAAAAATAATAAACTTAGTTTCTGTACGAGCATCCGCGTAAGGAGGCTTCTGATTTTTTGGTCTGGTGGAGGGCTGGGTGGGATCATGGGCATCGTTTTTCTTCTTTCTCTTTCTGTTGCAAAGACTCTAGTACCTGATCTCTAACCCAGGTTTATATACCTTTGGGGCAGAAGCTCTACCCCAAAAGAGGGATGATTGACAAATCTGATCTTCTGATAGGGTGCCTTCCGTAGTTTCAGTTGTAAGTCACTCAGACATACTTTTTCTGTCCCTCTCTTCTATACCCTTGGCTCTCTGATGCCTTCGACTTTTCCCTTTTATCCCTCTTGCTCAGGTGCTTCCTTTTACTCCTTTATACGGAAGGCAGGCATTCTACTTCCAGTTGCTCCATCCCTTGGCTCTCCCCTGCTCTCCATCTAGCCAAACTGGTTTGAGTCAGCCACACCCCCTTCCCTGCTCCTGGGGTTCTTCATGTGGTAGCTGGCCACCCAGCCCCACCCCTGGGCTTGGCTTCGAGCCCTGAATCAACTCCATCACCACCCAAGCCAAATCAAACCTGAGGCAGGAGCCGAAACTCACAGTCCCTCAAGACCTATAGCCAGGTAAGAGCCCCTGTTCATTTTTACATTTTCTGACCTCAACTCCCTGGACCCTCTCCTTGTGTTCTCTTCCTCCTGACTTTATGTTTACATCATCTGAGTTATTTCCTTATACCTACTTCCCTGCGGCTTTTTGACACCATTCTTATTCTCTGCTTGTCTTGACTTTCACCCTTTTTCCCATTGTTGCTTGTGATCAGGGAACCAAAGGTAGTTCTGTTTTGTCTAGATTGTAGGGGAATGGTTGGAGATGAGGGTGGAAAGGTGGTCTGATGCCAGGCCTTACAGGACCTGAGAAATAGGGAGATGAGAGTTGACTAAGTAGGGCATCATTATGCAAGTTTCTGTGTGGGTAATGAGGTCACTTGGACTGTGTTAATCTGTGTTGTGTGGCCTGGGTTAAAATGGATAGGGGGGAGGCAGTAGGGAAGCAAAGGAAGCTCTAACTTGTAATTCTTTCTGGTTCAGCTTTAATTGTAAAAAAGCTTACATGGTTACTTTTTCCTTTCTTTGTCCAATATGAAATGACTACTCTGTTTGAAGTGGGTGCAGGGCATAGGATCCTTTTCTTTGACCCCTCAATACTCAGGGGTAGCCTCTGGGGAATTTTAGGGCTTTTGGGGGGGGGGAATCAGTCTCAGTGTCATCTGGCTGAAATGTGGTGGCACGAACACAGTTTACATAGCCTCAACCTCCTGGGCTCAGGCAGTCCCTGCCTCAGCCTCCTGAATAGCTGGACTACAGGCATGTGCTAATTTTTTAACCAAGCCTGGCTAAATAAAAAAATTTTTTTTTGTAGAGACAAGGTCTTGCTATGTTGCCCAGGCTGGTCTTGGATTCCTGGCCTCAAGCAATTCTCTTACCTCAGCTTCCCAAAGTGCTGGGATTACAGGTGTAAGCCACAAAGTTTAGGAGGACACTTTGAAATACAGATTAAAATCACTTGTCTCAGATTCATAGCAGCTTTTGAAATTCTGTATTTCTCTCCTGCTTCTCAGTGTGCACCTGTCATTTGGCTTCTCACTTGTCAAAACAGTAAACAGTGCAGACAGTGCTATGTTCACACTTACTGCCTTCAAACACTCAACCTTAAGCTCAGGAAAAAAGATTCCAGTCACACAGTTCTTCTGGTCTATGAGTCACTAAAGGAATTCTCCAGTAAGGTAACATTCCTGAGAGTTGGGCTAGGCCACGAGGATAGAGTGCTCTGAGGGGTGGAGTCTGAGCAAGCCAGGCCATGGACTTAGTTGTTGGGCTTACAGGTTCCTTGACTATCGTCCACAGGTGATGGAGGACGAGGAGAAGGCAGTGGAGAGATTGGAAGCTGCTCACTCTCCATCCCCCATCCGCTGCTGCTGGCTCCGCCTCCGCTACTTGGCAGCTACTAGCATTATCTGTGGCTGCTCTTGCCTGGGAGTCATGGCTCTTGTGTTTGCCATCAAGGTGAGGAATGCAGTTCCTATGGGAGCAGGGGGGGTGGGTGTAAGGCAACGGTTTCATGTATCTGATCTATCTACGTTTATCAAACTTATTAAATGCCTATCAGTGCTTGACTTTAGGCCTAGTGCCAGAAATAAGAGTAAGAAATGGTTTCTTGGGCCAGGCGTGGTGGCTCACACCTATAATCCCAGCACTTTGCGGGGCTGAGGCGGGAGGGTTGCTTAAGCTCAGGAGTTTGAGACCAGCCTGGACAACATAGCAAGACCTTGTCTCTACAAAAAAAAAAATTAGCCAGCTATGGGAGCACACACCTGTCGTCCCAGCTACTTAGGAGGCTGAGGCAGATCGCTTGAGCCCAGGAGGTTGAGGCTGTGGTGAGCTGTGATTGTGCCACTGCACTTTAGCCTGGGTGACAGAGTGAGACCCCCTACTCAAAAAAAAAAAGAATTTTCTGAATCATATTTTAGCATTCAGCAACTGTGTTTCTATCACCATAAGAATTTCTGAATTTCATTGGGGCAAAATTATGAGAAGGATCTTTAATGATAAAAAAGATGAGGATCATTGGGCTATGAGAATGAGGTGGTGTTTGATTAGACATGAATGACTAGACTCCCGGGCTCTCTGTTTCTTGCTAGTAATTCCAAATTCTGAATAAATTTGGGATGGCTAGAGAACAATGGAGAATAAAAGAACTGGAAAGTTCATATATGAACTTGTGAGCTAATGGTGGCTACCCTGAAAAGTAGGCAGGGCAGAGATGGGTATTTTGTTTTGCAGACAAGGAGTGAGGGCTGGAAGCTGGAAAGGGAGGCAGAGGGTTTGGGTATGAGATTGAGTTATGACGGTATTGGGGAGTGGAGAGGGCAGTGGGCACTTTGGGGCAGAAGCAGGGGGAGAACCTAACCAAGAACCTGCCCCCACAGGCGGAAGAGCGGCATAAGGCAGGCCGGTTCCAGGAGGCAGTGTCCTGGGGGGCCCGGGCCCGGAAACTCATTCTGGTCAGCTTTGCTGTCTGGCTTGCTGTCCTCGTTCTGGGCCCCCTGCTACTGTGGCTGCTCTCCTACGCCATCGCTCAGGCGGAGTGACCCTGGGTGGCCTCTGCTGAGAGCCAGCTGAGAACTCCTGGATCCTGCAATGCGGCATTGCTAAGGTCCGGTGACAACAGTGGTCCTTCCTGGCTGGAAGGATGGGACTCTCAAGGGGCTTTGGAAGAGCTCTTCTAGCCCTTTATGAAAGGAGGGCAGCAGCTGAGACATGAGGGGGAAGTCAGCCTGACCTATTCTTTCATTGCCCAGCACCCCATATATCTCCCACCTTCCTCCATTCCAGGGGCCTCCACCCAGAGGAAGGGTTGAAGACCAGGCCTGATTTTATTAGAATTTGTTTTGTAATAAAAGTCTTTTTTAGTGGTGAACTGCTCCTGTCTAATTGTTCTTCCCCTGCTTTCTCTTGGGCCCTTGGTGAGAGCCAGATTGGACATCTGACTGGTGGCAGAAGCCTGCATCTCACCGCACCTAGGAGCTCCAGCAGAAGGAAACAACTTTTGTTTTCTTCTTGTGAGGCTTCCCTTATTTGAAAGACCCCAGATTCACCCTTATACATCAATAGAGACCCTGAGGCCAGAGAGGAAGAACAGTAGTAACAGCTACTGTTTATTGAGTATTTACTATATTTCAGGTTGTATTCTAAGCACCTTATATTTCTTAACTTCAGTCTTCACAATCACTCAGTAGTATGTATCATTGTTCTCATTTTATAGTTGAGGAAACAGACACAGATTTGCCCAAGATCACCTCACTAGTAAATGGCAGAGCTAGGATTGAATCCAGACAATTTTGTTTCAGAGCCAAGAGAGGAGTGAAAGGGTTGGATAACAACAACGACCATCCTGTATATGGAGATTTGTATGATTACAATGAATTTTCTTATGTTTTATTTTGGACCTCATAACATTTTAAACATTTTTAAAAATTGTGAATGGTATCACATATACAGAAAAGTACCCAAACAAGTATACAGTTCAGTAAATTAACACAAAACAAGGATCTGAATACCATTTTCAGTCAAGAAGTTGAACATTGCCAGCACGCCAAAGACTACTTTATACCCCTCCCAATCACTACTACTTTCTTCCCACAGGTTATATAACTACCATTCTGACTTCTAAAAATGTGGTTTCATTTTGTCTGCATTTGAACTTTATATAAATGGAATTTTTTTTTAGTGTCTGATTTCTTGTCATTGTGAGATTTGTCAATATTTGGTATACCTGTAGTTATCATTGTTGTATAGTATTCCATTACATGAATATATCTCAGTTTGTCCATTTTCTGTTGGTGGGCGTTGGGAATATTATAAGTCATGCTGCTGTGGACGTTCTTGTACATGCCTCTTGGAGTACATGTGCCCTGGGAGTGGGATTTTTAGGTTACCTCACCATAATTCAAAATCCAGAAGCGAACCTGAAGGAATTAGAGATGTTGCACACTGAAGACAGAAGATTTAGTGGGAAAGGAGAGACATGCGATGCTGCCTTCAATGTTCTGAAGGAAAAATGAAGAAAATCCCTTGGTAGTCCCAGAGGTTAGAATTACAACAATGGATAGAAGCCATATACAGGGCAGTGTTCTCAACATTGGCTTCATAGTGGAACCACCTGGAGAGACTTAAACAATAGTTTTGACTGGGAGTGGTGGCTCAGGCCTTAATTCCAGCACTTTGGAAGGCTGAGGTGGGAGGATTGATTGAGTCCAAGAGTTTGAGACCAGCCTAGGATACATAGGTAAGACCTCATCTCTACAACAAAAAAATTTTTTTAAAGTTATGCCTGGACTTTACCCCCCCCCCCGGAGATTTTGAGTTAATTGGCAGGAGGTGCTGTCTGGGGTCAGGGTTTCTCAAAATTTCCCCATTGATTCTACTGCACATAGTTTGAGAACTACTATTCTTTTTTTTTTTTTTGAGTTGGCGTCTCATTCTGTTGTCCAGACCGGAGTGCAGTGGCACGCTCCCGGCCACCACAGCCTCGACCTGCTGGGCTCCAGCAATCCTTCCACCTCGGCCTTCCAAGTAGCTGGAACTACAGGTGCGCGCTACCACGCCAGGCTAATTGTTTGATTTATTGTAGAGATGAGGTCTCGCCAAGTTGCCCAGGTGGGTCTTGAACCCACAGGCTCAGGCAATCCACTCACCTCAGCCTCCCAAAGTGCTGGGATTACAGGCTGAGCCATGGAGACTACTACTCTTTAGATAAGATTTTATTGGATTCACGCTACAGTTCCTAAGTCAGGAAAGGTAACATTTTAGAAAGTTTTCATGGTTTTTTTTTTTTTTTTTGAGGCCCTCTTACTCTGTCACCCAGGCTGTAGTGCAGTGGCACGATCATGGCCACTGCAGCCTTGACCTACTGGGCTCAGATGATCTTTTCACCTTAGCCTTCCAAGCAGCTGAAACTACAGGCATGCACCACCATGCCTGGCTAATTTTTTTTAAAAATTTATTTATTGTAGAGATGAGGTCTTGCCAAGTTGTCCAGGCTGGTCTAGAGCCCCTAGGCTCAGGCATCCTCTTACCTTCACCTCCCAATGTGCTGGGATTACAGGCGTGAGTCACTGTACCAGGCCTAGAAAGATTTCTAGTTTGGTGCGGTGGCTCATGCCTGTAATCCCAGCACTTTGGGAGGCAGAAGGCGAGAGGATTGCCTGAGCTCAGAGGTTGGAGACCAGCCTGAGCAACATAGTGAGACCTGGTCTCTACAATAAGTAAAAAAAATTAGCCAGGTGTGGTGGCGCACCCCTGTAATTCCAGCTACTTGGAAGGCTGAGGTGGAAGGATCGCCTGAGCCCAGCAGGTCAAGGCTGCGGTGGCCGTGAGCATGCCACTGCACTCCAGCCTGGTTGACAGTGAGACTCTGACTCAGGAAAAAAAAAAGATTTCTGTGGAAACTTTTTGAGCCAATGTTTGGTTAATCAGCCTCACTTTACTAAAAGAGAATATTGTATTTCCCCAAACTGCTTAAATGAGGTCTTACTGATTTTTAACTCTTCATTTTGAAAACATTTGAAACAATAAATAGTACAACAAACTTATGTATATGTTTTCCCTAGATTTATAGTTTTTAACATTTTACCACATTTGTTGCTGAACTATCCGGGGGTAATTTGCAGGCCCTTCATCTCTAAATAATTTCATGATCTGATCTATCTCCTAAGAACAAGTACATTTACATAACTACAGTACAACTATATAATCCTGAAAAGTTACCACTGATAAGTTATTTCCTGATACATAGTTTCATATTCAGATATGTCAGTTATCTCGATAATTCCTTTTCTGTTATGGGTTCAGGTGAGACACTATTTCATTTTCATGTCTCTTTAATTTTAGGGTGGTTTTTTTTTTTTTTTTTGAGTTGCTATTTTATGTTCATCCTTTCTTTTTTGGCTTTTATGACATGAAAAAAAATTTTTTTTAGTGTTTTATTTTAAAGATAGAATCTAGCTATGTTGTCCAGGCTGGAGTGCAGCGGCTGTTTATAGGTATGATCATAGCACACTGCATTCTTGAACTGGCTTTCCACCTCAGTCTCCCAAATAGCTGGGACTACAGGTGTGTGCCACCATGCCCAACTTTTGTGACTTTTTAAAGACAAGCTCTTGGTCTGTTGCCCAGGCTTGAGTGCAGTGGCATGATCATGGCTCACTGTAGCCTCAACTTCCTGGGCTCAAGCAATTCTTCCACCTCAGCCTCCCAAGTAGCTATGACTACAGGTGTGTGCCACCACACCCAGATAATTTTTTGCATTTTAAAAAATAGAGATGAGGTCTCACTATGTTGCCCAGGCTGGTCTTGAATTTCTAGCCTCAAAGTGCTGGGATTACAGGCATGAGCGACCGCACCCAGTCTTCCAAATTACTGGGATTACAGGCATGAGCCACTGCACCCAGCCTTTTTTTTCTTTATTTTATTTTACTTTATTTCATTTCATTTTTTAAGAGAGATGGGGTCCTACTATGTTGCCCAGACTGGACTTGAACTCTGAGTTCCTGCCTCAGCCGCCTGAGTAGCTAGGACCACAGCTGTCTGCCACCGCACCTGACCTTTATGCCTTTTTTTTTTTTTTTTTTTTTTTTTTTTTTTTTGAGTCAGAGTCTCATTCTATTGCCCAGGCTGGAGTGCAGTGGCATGCTCACGGCCACTGCAGCCTCAATCTGCTGGGCTCAGGTGATCCTTCCACCTCAGCCTTCTAAGTAGCTGGAACTACAGGTGTGTGCCATCAAGCCCAGCTAATTTTTAAAATTTATTTTAGAGATGCAGTCTCACTGAGTTGCCCAGGCTGGTCTTGAAAGTGCTAGGATTACAGGCTTGAGCCACCTTGCCTAGCCTTTTATGACATTTTTGAAGCAAAGCTAGTTGTTTGCAGAATGTCCTTCAAGTTAGGTCCTTATGATTAGATTCAGGTTATGTGTTTTTGGCAGATATATATGTCCTCACTTATTTATCTGCCAAAAATGCATAAATTGTGTGTCCTCAGGCCTCATCACATCAAGAGGCATATGATGTTGGTTTGTCCTCTTATTGGTGGTGGTAACATTGACAACTTGGTTATGTCTGTCATATTTCTGCAAAGTAAGGATCCTTTTTTCCCTTTATAATTAAGAAGTTATACACACACACACACACACACATATATATATGTATGTATTTCCTTAGCATATTTCTTTTTTTTATTTTTGAGTTGGAGTCTCACTGTCGCCCAGACTGGAGTGCAGTGGCCTCTCCCAGCCACCGCAGCCTCGGCGTGCTGGGCTCCGGCGATCCTTCCGCCTCAGCCTTCCAAGTAGCTGGAACTACAGGCACGCGCTACCACGCCCAGCTGATTTTTGATTTATTGTAGAGATGAGGTCTCACCAAGTTGCCCAGGTGGGTCTCGAACCCGCGGACTCAGGCAATTCACTCACCTCAGCCTCGCAAAGGTGCGGGATTACAGGCTGAGCCACCGAGCCCGGCTCCTTAGCATATTTCACCAATGATTTTAATCACTTAACTATGGTGTTTGTAAAGTGTTGATGTTTTATCATTTTACATTTTTTAGTTGACATTCTATAAAGACTTTTTTCTCCCTTATTTACTTACAATTTTTAGTGTCAGTATGGTCCAAGTTTGTTCAATTTGTTATATCTGTTACTGCCATTATCCTTAAAGTGTTTTGTTGAGGTATAATTTGCATACAGTAAAATGCACAGCTCTTGTGTAGCCTGAAGAATGTTTTTATGTAAATCTGCCTGGATAATCACCACCTAATTGAATAGAATGTTTGAAGCACATCAGAAGGGGCTGCCTCATGACCCTTGTCTCATTATTTTTGTCCCTAATTTTGACCAGTGGAAATAAACCCCTTCAACCTGGTTCCTG